GTTAATTCATAATTTGGATTTTATCTTAATTGTTGAATTTACATACAATGTTGACTAAGTAGTACAACGTTGATAAAATTCATACACAGGTTTTAAGAGTTATTACGTAGATAATCACTTTTTTCATCTTCGCTACTTAGCTCAATTTCTTCGCTCGATTCCGAATCAAGAGTCTCGTCTTCAGTTTGTAGACTTTCGTCGTCATCGCTAGAATCTACAGCATCATCTAAGGACTGATTATTTGATATCCCGCTAATACTCTCCAATATCTGAATATTTAACATTCCATTGGATTTAGGCAGAACTTTGCTCTTTTCTTTGCTTAAATATACCCACATCTCGTTCTCCCTCCCATTATCTATTACAATTGATTTAGTCTTTTCTATTTTGTTTTCAATGACGTCATCAAGACTACTTATAACCAAGGCCTTTTGCAAGGACCTTTTGACCGTCAAGTTTTGTATTTTTTGCTCCTTCATGTTTTTATTGAAAAAAGAAAATGTATGTAAGTTGGGAAAATATTCAACTAAGAAAACCGTGAACAAAACGAGTAATGTAATCGCCATTACACATTGTCTTCACATGAAATGAACTAACATTCAGCATCGTCATCGTTTTCCTGTACATCCACCTCTCCAGCCTGTTCAGAAAACTTGCGTAAAACGTTTAAACCATTGCTCGCCTTGGTTATAATGTTTTGAGTATGCTTGGTTACTGTTTCCGATACCGAGTCGGTAACATTTTGTACTATTTGTCTTGGCGACCCACCAGATGTAGAGCCAAGATTATTTGCATCTGCCTCCGTCTTATCTTCGTATCGTTACATACAACAAAAACATTTACCAAACAACAAATTTATAAAGAAAAGAATACATAAAACATTTAAGTAAGCAATTACAATAATGATACAAACCTGCCTTGTTTATTGGTAATAGCACTCAATGCACTTGCAATTTTATTAACGTAGAATTTGTCTTTTAATTCATTAATAAATTCATCCATGTCTGTAATAGTACTGTAGGAAATAGATGGAGGTACAAAGGTATGGTCTATATTTGGTATATATTTCCCTTGAGGATTCCGAATAAGAACTAAATAAATATGCCCATCATATTATTATAAAGGAATTTGTTATACGCTCCACCGAATCCATTTCGGCAGAAATAAAGTGAAGATATTCTTCTTCTTCTTTTAAATGTTATGGCTCCATCGAAATAATTAATGATTAGGCCAATGTCAAGTAAAAATAACTATGTACGGTAGTTTAATATTATTATAAAAATTATACAAAAAAATGGCGATTTCGCCAATGTCCTGTGAAGATATTGGAAAAATTTACTACGTTTTTTTATTATGACTTTCGCGAACGTAGTTTGACAATGAAGATCAAGTCAGTAGTGATGTATTTTGGTTCGTAGCAAATGATGTCTTGTTAAGATACGATGTCACAGGCATGCCCATTTTATGTCAGCTAAATTTTAATGTTACATAATAAAAGTTTATTTTCTTAATGCGTTGACAAAAGGATATTAATTCAAAGCAATTTGAATACTTTGATTAAATATGCATTTTGACAAAATACACTCAACACTGTTCGTCAATCCAACGACATCAAAACGAGATAACTTGTATGTTTACGTACCTCCCACTTTCTCAAAAAAATATATTAATCATAGAAAAAACCTAATAACATGCTAAAGATAAACAAATTATATTTAGCGGCGCTTTTCGCTCTCATGGTGATTTTGCAATTGTCAGAATGAGACATTCATATTTGACAGTAACTACATCAAAACTTTACGTTGTACCCATTTTCATTAAGTTAGGGTTAGGGAGCATACTATCGATAAATATGCTAGCAATTATTGTTAAAAGCTCAAAAGTTTTCCTGTACGATATAAGGATGTAGTCACCACGTTCCGACTACATATCCAAACTACTTGCCCACAGCTATTTTCCTGTTCAGATGTACTCGTAAGAGATGTACTAGGCACTAACTAAGCCCAAAAAGCATATTTTTCTACTTTACTTCAACCGCGCTTAACTCTTAAGTCGATTAACAAGAAGAACGTTCTTCACCCTACCTAGGGCAACTGAATTTCATTCCTTGCTCAAGCTTCCTTCATAGGGTCTATTTGAATCATTTACACTTTACACATACATTAATTACGTATAAGTTACAGAAAACATCGTAATAAATACCAGTTGAGTAAATTCAAAATTCAAATTCAAATACAAATTCAAAATAATCTTTATTTCATAGGTAAGGATTATTACACTTGAAATTGTCACAGTGGTTAAACTCTACCGCTCATTCGTAAGGCAGATTCCTCTGAGAAGAACGAGCAAGAAACTCTAGGGGTTGCTCTTTGTTAATAACGTTTGTATACATTCAACATTTACAATATATTTTTTTTATTTGAAACATCAGAGATCGAGACTACCTCTAACGGGTTACTACCACGGATTTTTGTCATCCAAGTACGCAGAAGTTGTACCTTTAGTATAAAGATTTTGTTTCACTATAGTTTTAAACCTCGTGAAAGTCAAATTTTGTATATCATCCGGAATCTTGTTATAGAAGCGTATACATTGCCCCTTAAATGATTTTTTGACTTTGTGAAGACGACTATCAAGAAAAGCTAGTTTATTTTTATTCCTCGTATTAATGTTATGTCTGTCACTATTTTTCATAAAGAAATTACTATTCCTTTTAACATAAATTACATTTTCATAAATGTACTGTGGTACATTAGGCTAGTGTAAGAATGTTAATTTCCTTAAACTTTTCTCTCAAAGATACTTTGGGGCCCAGATTATAAATTGCCCTAACTGCACGTTTCTGCAGGACAAAGATTCTATTGATATCGGCGGCATTACCCCAAAGCAAAATGCCGTATGTCATTAGACTGTGAAAGTAGCTGAAGTAAACCAATCTAGCGGTTTCGAAGTCTGAAAGTTTCCTTATTTTTTTAATCGCGTACACTGCAGAGCCGAACCGTTTTGATAACTTACTTATATGGGGACCCCATTGCAGTTTAACATCTAACGTTATACCTAGAAATACAACTGTATCCATAAGATTCAATTTTTCGTTTCTAACTACAATGTTTGTAACCGTCTCTCTAACATTGGGTAATGTAAATTTCACACAATTTGTTTTTTTCTCTTTAAGGAGTAGGTTATTAACAGCAAACCAATCAATTACTTAAGATATACGAGTAGCATTGTTCACATCGTCGTAGGAACATTGGTGCCTTTTTACTTTAAATAATAAGGAAGTATCATCAGCAAACAATGCTATCTCATGTTATGGAGGGTATAACCCTCCATAAGGCTAGGTAAGTCATTAATATAAACTAAAAACAAAAATGACCTAGAATTGAACCTTGAGGGACACCCATGCTAATTGCAGACCCTGATGATCTCGTACCGTTAACATCGACCCTCTGTACCCTACCACGCAAATACGATTTAAGAAGGTTGAGATCACGTCCCGCCACACCATAATGGCGAAATTTCCTGACCAGTGTATCATTGTGCACACAATCAAAAGCCTTGGAAAGGTCACATAATTACCATTAGCATCACGTAAGACTTCCCATGCATCAAATATATGATTAATCAACTCGACACCAGCATCGGTTGTAGAACGACCCCGAGTGAAACCAAACTGTTTAGGAGACATTAAGTTATTACTATAAAAATGTGCACACATCTGATTTAGAATATTTTTTTCAAATATTTTACTGGGAGTTGGTAGTAGTGATAGAGTAAAGTTTTACTTTGCTTCATGACGTCAGGAAAGACGCCATCATCAACACATTTATTAAAGACTAAGTAAGACGCAATACAATCAACTATAGAACTAATTACTCTGACTGAAAGGCCATCAAGATCAGCAGTATTTTTTATGTTTATAGACTTAAAGGCTTTAACAATGTCGTTTGGAAATACATGACGGAACCTTAAATTAGTGATACTAACTGCATTATTTTCTTTTAGTAAGGATTCAGCGGTTAAGTAGGCGAAATTGCAATGTCAGTAAAAAAAATTCAAATATTTTAGCAACTTCTGCGTCTGTGTTTACAATTTTGTCATTTAAATCTTAGTTGAAAATCTAAGTTACGAGGTTTGACCCTTCCAGTTTTGCTGTTTACAATATTCCAAGTCGTTTTTAATACATTCGTGCTGCTTTTAATTTTATTATTTATAAACGTTGCTTTGGCTGCAACATAAGCACGTTTAAAAATTTTCGAATATTTCCTAACAAAATCATTAAAACTGTTACTAGTGTTATAAGTCCTTGCATCGTAAAGATCATATAGCCTTTGTCTACTTTTGTGAATTCCCACAGTCGCCTAATCAAAAAATTTCAATTAATTATTAAGTTATGATTTTGGACTTAAAAACATTATCACGTTCACTTTTCACTATGTTGAAAACTGAATTATACAATTTAGTGGGATCGTTAACGTACGGAATGTCAGTTAGTTTAAGCATTACGTTATTTCTATAAGCTTTAAGTCGACCATTATTTATCAGAACACATGTGGTACTCTTTTTTTGGCATTTTGTCAACAGTTATATTAAAAGTGGCCAATTGACCGCAGTGATCAGAAGTTAATTTATTTATAATAGACTTATTACTAGGTACGGCGTTAGTATAAATGTTGTCTAAACAAGTGGCAGTAGTAGAAGTTATTCTAGTAGGCACCAAGAAAAGATTCACAAGATTATAACATTGGAAAAATGATATGAGCCTACTGCTAGCACTGGAATCTTCTAATAAGTTAACATTGAAGTCACCACAAACAACAATATATTTCTTTGGATTATTTAATTTGCCTAAAACTTCATCTAACCTTCTTTCTAATAGTTCGTAAGATGAATGAGGGGGTCTGTACACGCTTAATATAACAAGCCGTTCAAGCTCTATGGAGGATATCTCTATAGTCCGCTCAATAATTAGGCTCACAATCATGTACGTTCTTTAAATTTTAAATTATTTTTAATAAGAATTAAAGAGCCGCCATGAATAGCTTTTTCTCTGCTGAACGAACTACGCACCTGGTGACTGTTGCAGCTAAACATGAACTGATGTTTTGATAGAAAGTGGTGCTCAGTAATACAAAGAATATCAATATTATTACAGTTAATAAATAATTCTATTTCTAACCCTTTGCCTTTCATGCCTTGAATATTTTGGTGCACCAGGATTAATAATACAATTTATTTTATTTCTGTGTGTTTTAGGTTGGTTTTTTACTGTCATTGTGTTGCAAGAATATCTCTCCGTTGTCTTATTAATTAATTTAAATAATTACAAATTGCATTATTTTCAGCAGATTGATTATTGTCAGTAAACTGACCTATGTCAACGGACTGCTCAATAGAAGCAGCCGGTCTGGTAGCCAACAATTTGGCTGAATTATTAATATAATTTTTTTTTTTTTTTTTTTTATAAAATATAGGTGCGCATTTGACCTCCATCTCACCTGATGGAAAGTGACGATGAGGTCGACGATGGAGCATGCACACCTAAATAATGCCTATTCACTCTCGCCTTGAAAAGGTCCAAGTTATAACGTTCAGGGAACAAGTCTGCAGGCAGGGAATTCCACTCCATAGCCGTTCGCCATATAAATGTGGAAGCGTAACGCTTCGTGCGAATCTTTGGAATATCCACAACATAGGGGTGGAACCCAAGCCTACGCCTAGTCCCCCGGTGATGGAAAGGGGAAGGCGGAATTAAATCATGTAATTCCAACGCACACTCTCCGTGATATATCCTGTAAAATACCGATAAGCAGGCAACTTTACGGCGGTGTTCAAGGCTCTGCAGCTTCGCCTCCACTAATTCCGAGTCACCTATAAGCCTCTTGGCACGGTTGTCAATTGAATCCAAAGTGGCCAGTTGATATGTCGCAGAGCCATCCCAAAGGTGGCAGCAGTACTCCATGCACGATCGGACTTGTGCTTGGTACAGCTGGAGCAACTGTCCCGGTGTAAAGTACCGCCTCACCCTGGAAAGGATCCCAAGCTTCCTTGCTGCATTTTTGGCCGTGGATTCAATGTATCTGCCGAAGTTCAAATTGGACGACAGGTCCATTCCAAGTAGCTGGAGACAATCGGCTATCGGTATGGATATATCACGAAAAGTCGGAGTCAGCTCAAAGGGACTCCGTTTTGTGGAGAATAGACACGCCTGCGTTTTGGTAGCGTTA